GGTTCGGTTCCTGCTAAGGGCACACACTGTAGTTAAGGTTTGTCCCCGGCCCTGGTTGGAGTCATGTGGGTGGCGGCCAATCAATGTGTCTCTCTCATGTCGATGTTTCTCTCTCTCCCTTCCTCCCTTTCTCCCTCTCACTCTATCTGAAGATGAATGCAAAAATGTCCTTGGGTGAGGATTTAAAAAAAAGAAAAAAAGAAAGAAAATACAGATGAAACTCCTTCCCAGTCTCCTCTCCATTTGTAGCTCTGACCTGCCCCGACTACTTCCTCCGTCTCTCTTCTAATAAAAGCAATGCAGAAGCATAATGGTTTTGAAAAGAAAGCCCCACTCTCCCTCTGGAACCCATTTCTGAGGTTCCAGTGCACCGGGAACATTCGCCCAGGGGGGAGGGTGCTGATCAAGATGCAGCTGGGGAGGAACGGCCACCCGTCCAAAGCTCTCAGCTGGCTTTGTATCATTTCCCACTGAGTTCTGGTGTTACACTCTGTAAGGGTTGTTTGGAGGGCTGATTTCTCAGGTCTTTATTTTAGAGGTCCTGTGGTCCACTGGCTTCTTACTTCCATATCGGGCTGCTCACATGGCTTGAAGCCTCTTCTGAACACTGCATCTTCTCCTAGGGTCAAGGGATGACCTCAGGCTGCAGCTACTACTGCCTGTGGAACCCTGGCTGGGCTTATCCTGGAACAGCCAGAGGGTGGGCTTGGATCTTAATTGTCTTGGTATCCCCAGCACCTGTGACAAGGCCTGATCCATAGCAGGTGCTCAGTGAATATTTGGAGAATAAGTAAATGAATGAGTGAATGGATGATTGCAGGTGGGCTCAGCTTCTCTGCCCACCCCTAAGTCCTCAGTGAGGACCTGACCCAGTAAGTGTCCCACAACAAAGCCTCATTCCCTGGGCTGGTCTTCAGGATCCTCTTTGCTCTCCCACCCAAGAAGGGGGCACAGGCTGGACAGAGGCTCTCCTCTGAGGACCTCCTGGACTTGGGGCTGGTGGGAACAACTGGGGACTCTAATGCCCATCCACATTTTATCTAGACTCTATGGCCCCTAGCTTTAGATTTGTCTTTTTTTTTAATCCTCACCTGAGGACATTTTTGCATTTTATCTTCAGATAGAGTGAGAGGAGAAAGAGAGAAACATCTATGCGAAAGAGACACATCAAGTGGTTGCCACCCACATGACCCCAACTGGGGCCAGGAACAAACTGCAACCGAAGTACATGCCCCTAGCGGGAACCGAACCAAGGACTCTCTGGTCTGCGGGCCAATGCTCTAACCGCTGAGCCAAACTGGCTAGGGCCAGATTTGTCTTTGTGGGCTGGTATACAGTAGGTGCTTAATAAATGCTATTGCATTGGATGCTAGTTAGTGAAACACAACAAAACTTCCACTTTATTTCATAGACGGTTGTACAGACTGAATGAGAGAATGCCTATCCAATACTTAGCATAGTGCCTGGCACTTGAAGGTACTCCATGGGAAGGCTGGCTCTGTGGGCACCCAGTGTCCTAAGAGCCCTGATGCTATATTTGTTGTATGAATGAATGGATAAGGACTGCCCCATGTTCCCTTGCTGAATGTTTCTGTGTCCAGCATTCCAAAAATGGCACAGTGGCATGAATCACCTGCCTGGCACTGATGCACAGGCCCTTGGGGAGTGAGAAGTGGCATTCCTGGACATCCAGGGATGCCCCGGCCAAGACTCAGCAGGCTCGGTCCACGCTCTTCCTCTATAAGCCCGCCTTCCCTTCTCTCGTCCTCATCTCTTCTTCCAGTGGAGTGCTGATCCCTCCCTCTTCCTCACCCCATTCAGCCACTCTTCTTTTTTTTGAATGGAGTCCACCTCTAAACTGATTTATCTTCTCCCTCCCATTCCTGTGTGGGCCACTCTTTCCCTCCAACAAGCCCTTCTCAGGGCTATCAGAGCTGCCTTTCTAAAACAGTCAGATGGCACCACCCTCCCGCACTCAACAACATTTAGTGGCTTCCCAGTGCCCACATATCCCTCTCTGGGTTTTGTCCTGCCTCCCTTCCCAGCCTTAGCCCCTGCCACCAGACTTTCTAATAATAGTCATGCTTTCACTTACCCAAACTTTAGTGCCTGTCTTTTTCTCAGCCTGGAATACCCTCCCCACTGTGATCTCCACTCACCATTCTTTTTTTTTTTCTTTATTGATTTTATTTTATTTATTTATTTTTACATTTATCTTCAGACAGAGTGGGGGAGAGAGAGAGAGAGAACCATCAATGTGAGAGAGACATATCGATTGGTCGCCACCCGCACGACCCCAACTGGGGCCAGGGACAAACTGCATCTGAGGACCATGCCCTTGGCCAGAATCGAACCCAGAACTCTTTGGTCCACAGGCCGATGCTCTAACTGCTAAGCCAAACTGGCCAGGGCTCTTTATTGATTTTAGAGAGAGAAGGGAGAGAAAGATAGAAACATCGATGAGAGAGAACATCGATTGGCCACCTCCGGCACACACATACCGCCCCCCACAACTGGGGATTTGGCCCACAACCTGGGCATGTGCCCTGACCAGGAATCAAAACCTCTTGGTGCATGGGTCGATGCTCAATCACTAAGCCACACCGGCCGGGCTCCACTCACCATTCTCGAAGGCCCAGCTCAAATGCCATCCTGTCCACAGAGAAGTCCTTGAAGGCCCACAGTTGGAATGACCCAGCCACCCTTTGTGCTCCTTCACGTCTTTCTGATTTAACACCTCTACTTCACCATTCCCCCACTCTGCTTTGTTTTAGTAGACTGTGCACCTGGCTAAAATGAATGCAGGTTGGTGAAAAGGAGGCAGGGGCTGGCCTTACAGGTCCTCTCTCCTCACAGCACTGGACACTTGGCTGAGCAGACTCTGGGTCAAGTATTAGTTTAAATAAAATGAAGAGGAGGACAAGCTCGCATGCTCCTCCCATTTCTTTATTCCAGAGGAAATGCAACTGCACAGAGCCCCGTGCTCCAAAGGCCTCCCCAAGGGCGGCTGGCAGTCCTGGGAAAACCCATGCTTCCTTTCCCAGCACCTCATCCTTCCTCCGTCTGCTCCCAGTCTTCATTCTTCATTCTGGAATTTCTCCTGTCCCAGTCTCCCACGCAGAAACTGGGGGATCTCAGGAGCCCACATTTCCAGGCCGCTCTCTAGCTGTCTTATTCTGTACAGCCTGGCTTGTCTCAAGGCCCAGGTGGGTGGGAAGGGTCTCAGGGAACCCAGCTTGGCACACCCAACGCACTGTCCCTCAGTTCTTGGGACTCAGTCTCCCACTGCCAGCAACTCTGTACCAGGAGCACCCGCGGCTGGAATAGAGCCCTAGGAACATCCGTCCCCCTTCCCACCACAGGTGTGGCAGCCAGCCTCTTCCTTCCCTTGACAGCAGAGCTGCATCTCCTCAGAACCCCTTGGGCGCCCACACCTCTGCCCATACCTCATTCTCCTCCTCCTGTGCCAGCCGCTTCTCAATAAGCTCCGTGGCTGTCTGCACCGCCTCAGAGTCCGCCATGGTGCCGTCCATAACCCGCTTCTGCAGGCCGATGAGCCACGGGGGCTTTATAGACCAGGGCACCCACCCCCGCCCTGCTGGGCGCCTTTGCCATGAGCTCACCGGCTCAATTCTCCACCTGCCTCCCCCACCTGTCACCTTCACCCCGGGCAGCCCCAGGGAGCAGAGAGAGGCAAGGACAGTTGCCCCCCACAACCATTGGCCTATTGGAGCTGGGGGGCACAGCACCCCAAGAGCACCGGTTACAGGAAGGAGCCTGCCCAGCCTCTGTCATGAGTGCTGGGGCCCAGCTGGTCCCTAGCCAGGGCAGCTGGGCTGCACAAAGGATCGGCTAGCTGCCCCTAGCCCTGATGGCAGTGCCACCTACTGGACGCCTGGAAACTGCCCAGACAGTGCTAGTCAGGGGGCCCGAAAGCCAAATGTGGGGACCCAAGACAGTCCCGGGTCCTGGGCTGTCCTGCTGGCTCTGGAAAGGGGCAGACTGCTTCTTCTGGGCTGGAGTGCAGGGTGGCTGGTGCGGGTAAGGGCAGCCGCCTCCCTCTTTGCCCTCAGCTCATGCAGGCCTTTGCCTCTCTGGGGTCCCACAGCGCCCTCTAGCAAAGCATCTCTGCATTTAGCTGTATGTCCATTAGTCCTTCACAAACTTCATCGGTCTGTTTCAGGGGGCCTCTGCGGGAGGTTTATTCAACCGTCTCAGGAGGCCAGTGGAAGTGCCAGAGTACAGTGCCAAGCCCAGGTGACGACGCCAGCTCCGACTGATCGTCCCTTTCTCCCGTTTCCCTGACAGGCCACCCTGACTGGGGACCAGCCATACTCACTGAGAAAGAAAAGTACTCCCAACTGGAGAAGCAGGCCTGTACTTGCTCCGTCCGACACCTGGACCTGTGGGACCCAGCCCTGGCTCGCCATGACCCATGTTTGACCTGCCAGGGACCCAGAGACACCACGGCTCTGCGGTTCTGTAACATGAACAGCTCCCTTTTTTCTCTGGTCCCCTTGCTGGCAAAGCGGCTCATGCTCTAAATTTGTCAGAGATTCTGTGTTACCATCACAAGGCACAGTGTCTCCTGTGTGCACACCTTAGTCCTGAGGGCCTGGCTTGGGCTGCAGCTGGAAGCCAGACCCTCCTGCTACAGGAACAGACCAGCAGGTAACTACCCACCTGCCTGAGATGCTGCCTTCTTCACATCTGTCAGTCCAGTTAATCCTCCCAGCAACTGAGGGCAAGGGCAGGGCAGGTGGTATCACATCTACTTTAAAGATAAGCAAAGTGGGCTCAGAGGTTAAGTGGCTTTTCCAGAGGAGCTGTGAGAACACGGGGCCCAGACACTGGCGTTCAAGGCCTGCTCCGCCGTACTCTCTGCTGTACCCAGAGCAGCTGTGGAGGCCGGCACCCACCTGTTCCCACATCAGACCCGGTTCCCAGGGCTCCACAGAGCTGCAGGGGCACTCAAAGTCAAAGCCAGGCAAGAGAGAAGAAAGGAGCAAAAGGCTTTATTGATAAATATGCAGATATCTCTGTACACAGGGACCTGCTGTGGGACCATGACTGGCTGCAGACACCCCACTGCGTGGGTTACAGCCAGGAGATGGCCCTGGGCAGACCCCTGCCACAGCAGCCCAGCTGTCCGGCCACCTGCTTCATCTCCGCCAATTGTGCTGGGGGCAGGGAGAGGCAGAGGCTGGCTTCAGGCTCCCTGCCCCTGGGGCTCAAGAACGGTCCCCTCCCCTCCAGGACACTGGCACTGTGCCCAGGGCAGAGTCAGGGGCAGGGGAGGGACACAGCAGCTGCTTCAGACCCTGAGCAGAAACCGGAGTGAGCACAGCTGGCAGCACCAGAGGACAGATCTGGGCTTCAGGGGCCCCCGGGCTGGCCCTCATGGTGAGCCTGCTGTGGGAGAGGCAGGGTGGAGGCCCCGTTTTCCTCTTCTCTGCGAGGTTGGCAAGGCCTGTGTGGCAGCACTGCTTCCTGGCTGTCAGGCACTGGTGGCCCATGGTGGCCCTGGAAGACAGGGTCCCTTGCAGCTTGCCCAGCAGCCACACAGCGGGGAGGTGCCCTGAAGAAAATATCAGCACTCCAAGGCAGCAGCAGGGGAGGGGCCTGGTGCTCCAGCCCCACAGAGGCCCTCCCTGGCCTCTCTTCCCAGGGGTCCTTAGGCTCTCAGTCCTGGGGCGGTGGGGGCTGGTTAATGATGACCTGGATGACAAAATCTTTCTGGATCTTGGTTTCCTGGAGCCGTGTGCGGTCTGTGAGCAGCTTCCCAGAGAAGAACCATCGCTGCCAGGACGGCTCGATGCCCTCCTGGGCGTGCAGCTGCCTCTTGAGCTGCCCCACCGTGTCGGGCAGGCTGGCACTAAGCCTCACGTCCTTGCCTGTGGAGAGGCGCACCTTCAGTGGGAACTCACGGCGCACGCTGGGTGTGGGCTCTGGGGGCTCCACGCTCTCCTCCTCAGTGTGTTCCAGCAGCAGGTTCACGGGCGGTGACAGGCAGTAGATGGGCAGCTGGTAGCGATTACCCAGCTCGTCATAGCATTCACAGAGGGTGCCTGTGGGAAGGACAGGGCTGTCAGAGTTGGCCTGGGGGCTGAGTTATATCTCCGCCAAATCTGTATGTTAAAGCTCCAACCCCCAATGTCACTGTATTTGGAGATAGGGACCTGTATGAGAGTAATTAAAGTGAAATGAGCCCAGCCAGTGTGGCTCAGTGGTTGAGTGTCGACCCATGCACCACGAGGTCACCGGTTCGATTCCTGGTCAGGACACATGCCCAGGTTGTGGGCCGGATGCCCAGTGGGGGGCATGCAGGAGGCAGCCAATCAATGTTCTCTCTCATCCATGTTTCTATCTCTCTCTTCCTCTCTATAAAAATCAATAAAGGAAAAAAAATTTTTTTAAGTGAAATGAGATCATTTGGGTGGGGCCCTGATCTGACAGAATTCGTGTCCTTGTAAGAAGAGGCACCAGAGTGCTCCCTCTCTCCCTCCGCCATGTGAGGACATAGCAAGCAGGTGGCCGTCCAAGAGCCAGGAAGAGAGCTCCTGCCTAAAACTGATTGAGCTAGCACCTTGGTCTTGAGTTTTCCAGCCTCCAGAAATGAGAGAAATAAATTTCTGTTGGTTAATAAGCCATGCAGTCTGTGGTATTTTGTTGTAGCTGCCCAAGCACATTAATATACTTGTCATGGCCGCCCCATAGTCCCAAACCCACCCTATAGTCATGTGTCCCTGAGTGAGCTGGGAGGAGCTCAAGGTAGAGTCGGGAAGACCTGGGCTGGCATTCTGCCTCCACCAGGTACTGACCTGTACAACCCTGGCAAATTATTTAACTTTCCATCTGTCCATTCAACAGCTCTTTCCTGAGCATATGTGCTGGGTGCTGAGGTTACAAGGATGAATGAAATAGCACAGGCCCTGCACTTCATGTCTTGCCCAGGGGGTACACCTAGTGGGCCTCAATTTCCTTGCTAGTACAATGTACTGCATGTGGAAATATATTTACTGTGCCTTGAGCACCACTTAGTGTTAGGGCTAGACTAAATGATGTTATGGTAGCTCGCTAAATCCTAAAAACCAGCCTAGGAGGTAGGTATCCCCACCGAAAGTAGGTCACTGAGGCTTTAAATTTGAGAAGCTCTGAGATCAAGGTCACAAAGCAGGGAAACAGAGACACTCATGGTAAACCCAGGTCTAAGACTCTATGAAGTTCTACTGTTACCCCCTCTTTACATAGTCCCACAGGCTGTTATGCATGTAAATGAGATAACACAGAAGCTTCTAGTGCGGTGCCCAGCACATAAGCACCCAACAGAAGGTCGGCACCTCAGACGTTCTGGGATCCCAGAGTGCCCTGAGTAATCCTTAGCCTACTCCCATCACATTGCTTTGAGGTTTGCTGGTGCCTTTCCACTCCCTCACTGGGCAAACAAGACTGTGTCTCATTTTAGTTTGTGTCCTCACTCCTGGTCCATGCTCATAGGGCTGCTGGATGAACAAGTGAATAGCCACACCTGCCACCAGCCCTCCTCCACCCTAAACGGTGCTGATGGCCCCCTGGCTCCAGCAGGGATCAAGCCCCCACCCTGCCTGCTTACCATGTGGCAGGGTTATACTGGCTCCATCCAGGATGGCCTGAGCCAGTTCATGGTCATTGGCCTCAGCCGCGTAGGCGGCAGCCTTGAGGGCGTCCCAGATCTCCTTACGGCCCTCGAAGGCAGGTGCTGTGTCCCAGAACTCATCCCGCTTGCTCCGCAGCTGCCCATCTGTCATGGGGTAGTCACTCTTCCACTTCAGCCGCTCCTTCTTCAGGGGCTCGTTGCGTCCTAGGCAGGACAGAGGGACAGGCTCAGCATCTCTAAAGCCAGGGCTGTAGTTTAACCTCTTCCCAGCCCCTCCCTTCCCCAGGCCAGGACCAGGATCCACTGCCCGGCCCACCCAACCCCACTACAGTGGCCCCTAAGTATTTAGGTCTCTAGGCCTATCCATGGAGTCAGGGAAGAGTCTGGAAAATGCTCTCACCCAACCTGAGGATATAAAATATTTGTGTCAGCAAAGCATGTACTGTCCTTGTTGTTGTTGCTGTTGTTTAAATTTTAACTAATTTTAAAGTAATACATGTTCGGTATTTTTTTAAATCTAGAAAGAATACAGATGTGTAAAAATAATAACTGCCACCATTTATGGAGCCAGCTTGTACCAGACCACAGGCTAGGCACTTTAGACCCATTACTCATTTGATCCTCAAAACAACCCAAAGTGGGCCCCTGACTGGTTTGGCCTCAGTGATTAGAGGGTCGGCCCGCGGACCAGAGAGTCCAGGGTTCGGTTCCCGCTGAGGGCACGTACCTGGGTTGCAGTTCATCCCCAGCCCCGGTTGGGATTGTGTGGGTGGCAACCAGTTAATGTGTCTCTCTCACGTCGATGTTTCTCTCTCTCTCTCTTCCTCCCTTTCTCCCTCCCACTCTATCTGAAGATAAATACAAAAATGTCCTTGGGTGAGGATAAAAAAAAACAAAAAACACCCCAAAGTGGGGAAATGAATGCCCAGAGAGGTTGTTGTTTAAGGCCACGCAGGTACTAACTCAGTGCAAGACTTTCTGACTCCAAAGGCCACCCTTTGACCATCGTCTACACTATTCTGCCACTGTGGGAAACATTATTCGAGAATTTCACCATTCAGAAGTGCTGCTGCTGATACCTAGACAAATCTCCACCCAGCTTCCTTTTCCCCATTTTTCTCAATATAATTGAGTTCATATTATTAAATATATTATATTCCTTGTTCTCATCATGCCAGTATACAACTTTCCCTTTCTTTCACATTTATATTACCTTCAATGTATATTCCCATAATTAAAATTATAAACAATTTTAATGTTTTGTAATTCATGTTCCACCATATAGTTACAAAGAATATATTAAGAAAACCATAACCAATGAACCAAAGAATCCTGCAGCAGCTGAAGAAGAAAGCAATTCTGTTAAATGCCATTTTTTCTGGTTGCCTAGCCCCAAGTGGCTTAGATAACTCCAGAACACAGTCAAGGCTGAAGCAAGAGCATCTCTCAAAGCTTTAGGAGGCTGTCATCTAGCAGTGAGGTCTGAAGTACCTGGCTCCCATTCTAACTCAGATCCTACAGGAGAGAGACTGGACTAAAGCTGGGGGCTACCACTCGGTCACCCCCACTGGCTGGGGCAGAAGGGGGCTCCTCAGGAGAAGAGAGTGACATTCACTGCCTACCAGCTTTGTGAAAGAACCCCATGTAAGCACTTATTTATATGCATTATCCCATTTCGTCCTTGCAATAGCCTTAGGTGGCAGGTGTTATTTTCGCTATTTCACAGATGATGGGAGAGGCAGAAAGATTAAATAACTTGCCCGAGGTCACACAGTAAGGGACAGAGTGAGGGTTCTACCTCAGGTCAGACTGAATCCACAAACGGTCCTCCAGTGGGTTTGCTGATACCTGTGCAGGCAGAAAACTCTTGGGCCAGGTATTAAATTTTTTTTTTAATTTATTTTTTTAATCCTCACCCGAGGACATTTTTCCACTTTTTTTTTTTTGGTTCAGATAGAGTGGGAGGGAGAGAGAGGAAGAGAGAGAAGGAAAAACATTGATGTGAAAGGGACACATCAAGTGGCTGCCTCCCGCATGACCCAACCAGGGCGGGGAACAAACTGCAACCGAGGTATGTGCTCTTGGTGGGAACCGAACCCAGGTCTCTCTGGACCACAGGCCGACGCTCTAACCACTGAGCCAAACCGGCCAGGGCCCAGATATTGAATTTAAAGTGTCCCTGGGTTAGCAGAAGGGAATGCAAATCTTTTGTGTAGAAATATATCTTCAAACCAAGCCTCAAAGAATTCCCGAGATAAAGTTCCAAAGGAAAAAAATAAAGTCACAGTTTAAAAAAAAAAATTACAACCTACAAGGAAACAAGGCAACAGGAGCCAGAGCCAGCAAAAACAGCAGACAGAAGAATCAGACTAAAAAAATTTCAGATATGGGATTTATCAGACACAGATTATGAAATAGTGAGTTTAAGAAACAAGAGAGCCTTACAAATAAGAACAGAGAAAAAGAGATTATAAACAACAACCAAGCAGAAATTAAAAGAAACACATAGACTTCAGAAATAAAAAATACAATAACTAAAATTCAGATGATGATTTTTTTTTTATCCTCACCCGAGTACATTTTTCCATTTTTTGTACAGATAGAGTGGGAGGGAGAGAGAGGAAGGGACAGAGAGAGAGAGAAACATTGACGTGAAGGGACACATCGAGTGGCTGCCACCCGCACGACCAACCAGGGCCGGGGACAAACTGCAACCGAAGTACGTGCCCTTAGCGGGAACCGAACCTGGGTCTCTCCAGACCGCAGGCCGACGCTCTAACCGCTGAGCCAAACTGGCCAGGGCCAGATGATGATTTTTTTAAATAAATTTTCTTTCTTTATTTTAGAGAGAGAGGAAGGGAGAGGTATAGATAGAAACACTGATGAGCAAGAACATCAATTGGCCGCCTCCTGCATGCCTCTCACTGGAGATCTGGCCCACAACCTGGAATTGAACCAGCAACCTCCTGGTGCATGGGTTGATGCTCAACCAGTGAGCCACGCTGGCCGGGCTGTAACTTTTTTTTAAATCCTCAGAGAGATATGTTTTTTGTATTAATTTTGAGAAGGGGGGGAGGTAGAGACAGGGATGGAGGGAGGGAGAGAGAGATAGAAACGTTGATCAGGCCCTGGCCGGTTTGGCTCAGCGGTTAGAGCATCGGCCTGCGGTCCGTAAAGACCCAGGTTCGGTTCCCGCTAAGGGCACGTACCTCGGTTGCAGTTTGTCCCCGGCCCTGGTTGGTCGTGCGGGTGGCAGCCACTCGATGTGTCCCTTTCACATCGATGTTTCCCTCTCTCTCTCTTCCTCTCTCTCCCTCCTACTCTGTCTGTACAAAAAATGGAAAAATGTCCTCGGATGAGGATTAAAAAAAAAAAAAAAAAAAAAAAAGAAACGTTGTTCAGTTGCCTCCCGTACACGTCCTGACTACGGATCAAACCCTCGACCTTTTGGTATACAGGGCAACACTCCAACCAACTGAGCCACCCAGCCAGGGCAGATGGTCTAACATTTTAAATCAGAATTTCCAGGAGGATACAATAGGAAGAATGGGGATAAAGGAATAGTCAACAAGATTATAAAGATATCATTTTCCTCCAAACTGATCTATAAATTAAATGAGATCACAATAAAATTCCTAACTGGGAATTTTTTTCAAGGAACTTGGCAAACTGATTCTAAAGTTCATACAGAAGAACAATGACACTCAGAGAAAAATAAGGTGGGAAAACTTGCACTACAATTATGAACACTAATTATAAAGCTACAGTGACTGCCCGGCCAGTGTGGCTCAGTGGTTGAGCATTGACTCATACACCAGGAGGTTACTGGTTCAATTCCTGGTCAGGGCACATGCCCAGGTTGTGGGCCTGATCCCCAGTGGGGGGCATGCAGGAGGTGGCCAATAAATGTTCTCTCTCATCAATGTTTCTATCTCTCTCACCCTCTCCCTTCCTCTCTATCTAAAATCAATAAAGAAAAAAAATAGCTACAGTGAGTGTAGTACTAGAACAGGAACAGATAATGGGCCAGTGGAATGGAATAGAGAGCCCAGAAATAGACCGAGGCATATACAGAAATGTGCTTCAAGTAAGAAGGAACATTGCAGTCAGGGTGTGTTTGTGTACACGTGTGTGTGTGATGGATGTGAAACAATATTAGAAATATATACATATTGACTCTGCCCCCAGTTCCTGCTAGTATTTTGTCTCTGACCCAGTTCCTTACACTGAGCTCCTAAAACCTTTGTAATTTCCTGAATGACTAGAATGTCTGATACTGAGTTTCTCAATTGCTTGGAATTTCCTGGGTGACACAAGTGTCTTTTGTTTTAATGAGGACTCTTTTTTTTTTTTTTTTTATCCTCATCCGAGGACACTTTTCCATTCTTTGTACAGACAGAGTGGGAGGGAGAGAGAGGAAGAGAAAGAGAGGGAAACATCGATGTGAAAGGGACACATCGAGTGGCTGCCACCCACACGACCAACCAGGGCCGGGGACAAACTGCAACCGAGGTACATGCCCTTAGCGGGAACCGAACCCGGGTCTCTCCGGACCGCAGGCGGACGCTCTAACCGCTGAGCCAAACCGGCCAGGGCAATGAGGAGACTCTTGGTGTGATCCTGGATGGGGGCTGGTCACCAGAAAGACCAAGTTATGATAAGCTTGGAATTTTCAGCCGTAACTCCCATTCTCTGGAGCAGGAAGAGGGGCTGTAAACTGAGTTAATCATTGATCACGCCTACGTGATGAAGCTTTCACAAAAATCCCTGAAGTATGGGGTTTGGAGAGTTTCCAGATTGGTGAACACATCCAAGTGCTGAGAGGGTGGCGTACCCCAAGTCCAGGGACCAGAAGCTCCTGTGCTCGAGACCCTTCCAAACCTCACCCTCTGCATCTCTTTATCTGGCTATTCATTTGTATCCTTTAAAATATCCTTTGTAATGAATGGGCAATAGTAAGTAAACTGTTTTCCTGGGTTCTGAGAGGTGCTCCAGCAAATTATTAAACCCAAGGAGGAAGTCATGGGAACCTCCAATTTGTAGCCAAATTGAAAAGAAATTGTAGGTAACCTGAAGTGGGGGGCAATTTTGTGGGACTGAGCCCTTAATCTGTGGGGTCTGTGCTAATTCTGGATAGTTACAGAATTGAGAATTGTAGGACACCAGTTGATGTCCAGAGAGAACTGGAGAATTTCTTGGTGTGG